TTTTGAATTTTATTCATCATACAAATCCATTAATTATTGATTTTTTTCAAGAATTTAACTTTATAAGATTATTTATGATTATTGTAATTAATCAATTTGATTTTCTAAAACTCTTAATTTTTACTACAGCTATTGCTTTTCTGATATTAATGACACAATTTATTTTCCTTCAGGACCAGTTCCGATAATTTTTTCAAAATTCTTTAAATCTTCTTTTCTTTCTGCCTCGATATCTAGAATTTATTTTTTTAACTGTTAATTTTCTTATTATAATTAGCTTAATTAAAGAACTTAAGTAGGATCAAACTATTAATGGCTATCTGCTTTTTGTGGCAATGAACCTGAAAATAATTAATTCAATGTATTTTGTGCATTTAATAGTTCAGTTTATAATTATAGTTTGCTTGATTTTAATTGCTCATTTTCTTAAATAGCCTACTGATAATCATTACCCTATTATTTTAAAATTTCTAATTAAGATTATAAAGAATTAATAATTTCATTAGAATTCCTCTCATCATCTTATTAAATTTATCCATGTTATGGATGCATTTTTGAACGATCTTGTACTTCTTATTAAGCATATAATTTTTGATATTCTAGCTTCCAAAAGTCTCCATTAAATTCAGCTAATTCATTTTTTAATTTCAAAATTTCTTCATCTTTTGACTGATTTAATTATCTTTACTCATTTAATTCATTTTTATTGTCATTAAATTATTGTTCAGTTAATTTCAATTACTATTCTAGTAAGTTAATCTGTCTACTTAAATCAGAAATTTCTTCTGACATTTATGTTTGACGAGCTTCATATTATTTTTAATCCTCGTTTAATAATTTTATTTATTCTTCTTAATTTTTATTCTTAACTTAAATATCAGACAAATTTTGGTTTTCTTCATGTTATCGTTACTCTGGTAAATCTGTAGATTTTTTATTTAATAAATTTTAATATCTTTCATTCAAAAGTAGTGCTTCATCTTATGAATCTTTGTATTTTTATTAATACTCTTGTAGCTGTCCTTACAATTTTGGAATAGAACTTTCAATTTCCTATTATTTTTCTAAAAGCAGTTATTCTAATTCGTGGATTTATTTAGAATTTTAAAGTAGCTTTTCTTTTTAACCATTTGGAGTTAAATTTTATGATTAAATTTCTAAGAGTTCTTAATATTACTCTTTAATTTTATTCAATTAAGCTTTTAATTATTCTATTTCTTTTTACTTTTCTTATAAAATGAGTTTTTATTCATCCTGAGGCAAAGTTTAATTTAATTCAATTAGTTATTTATTTTTATCAACTAACTATTCTTATAAATATATAGACTCTTGCTAAGCTTTATCCAGCTAGTTTTATAATTATCTAATTTCTGATTAAAATTCTTGCTTTTAGCTATATAAGTCTATAATCTATTGCTAATTAACTCCTTTACCAATCATATCCTAAAATTATTTTAAATCTTCTCTCTTTTCGTTCTCTATTTAAGTAATTTAATTTTTAAGTTGTTAATTTTCTTGAGTTAGTTAACTAATTTTAAGGTTTTTTTCAGGATCAGTTTAAAAGTTGAAATTTTGATTTTCAATAGGTTCTGATTTAATTTGAAAATCTTGAAATTTATTGATTTAACTTTATTTTTAAAGCAATTAATTCTATAGTTCTAGTTTCTCTTTTCTTAAATTTTCATTTTCTTATCTAAAATTAGATTATAAATTAATTTCTCTTTGATTTTACTGCTTTTCAAAATTTAATTAATTTATTAAGTCTTTCAAAGCGTCAATATTTTCTGCTGAATTTGATTCCTAATCTTTTTTTTTTTATATATCCTCTTATTCTATTTGCTATTGGTTTATTCTTTGAGTTTCTACATTTTAATTATTTCCTCTTTAGTCATTTTGATTTTCTTTCATATTTTAAATTTCTTATTTGAGATTTTCTTCTTTTTTTTTATATTCAGTTATCTAATTTTATTAATCTTTAACTTATTCTTATAAAATATTTTGCAATTATTCAGCTAAATTTTTTTCTCTTTACAAACTATCTATTTCATCTTTTGCTTATTGGAATTTTTACAATTCTGATGTAATTTATTTTTTATCTTATTCTAAATTCTACAATGTCTCTTGAAGTTCTTGATTTTATTTTTTTAATTATTGGGCTTCGATTTAAGATATTTAGGATTGATCCTCCAATTATTAGTTTTCTGGTTATTTTTTAGCAAGTAAATCTTAATACCTTTTTGATGAAATTTGAGCATCGTTTTAAGCAGTTTATAATTCTTATAAGGCTTATGCTAATTACCCTTATAATTGAGGTACCTCTTTTTCTAATTCCTACTAAAGATTCATTATCTAATTTTAATAATCATGAATTGTAGATTACTACTATAAAACCTTCTCTTTTAATCCATTTGGAGTTGCATTTTATTATGCAGTTTCTAATAACTCCAAATATTATTATTTTGCTTATTATAACTAATTTTATAATTAATTTATTAAATCAGTTTATTCTTCATTCAATTAAATATTTGTTTATAATTAATTTTAAGCATCTTAAAATTATGGCTCTTTTGTTTTTTTTAATAATTCCCCTTATAATACTATGTATTTTTATTAAAGCTGGTCAATTTAATTTTATTAATCTCTAACTTATTTCTATAAATCCTACCTATCTGTCATTAAAGCTAAAACTTATTATTCTTAAACACCATTACCAATCATATCTTTAAATTCTTTCAAGTCATTTTGTCTTTATTATTCAACTGCTTATATTTAAGTTTTCAATTTTTAATTATTTTATTCTAACTAACTTATTTTTAACATTTTTTCAGAATCCACCTAAATACCCTGTTAACTAATTGGGTTTTAAATTTGATTTTTTTATTAAGAAGTCATATTATTTAATTCTTCTTAAATCTCAATAATTTTTTCTTATAATTCTAAATTTCTACTTTTCAAAATATCAATTTACTCTTATTATTGATCTTACTTTTTATTTTTTTCAACTAAAATAGGATCGCATAATTGAATTTTAAGGCTCTCAACTGATTATGGCTATTCAGGTAAATTTTGTTCTAACTTTTATAATTAATTTTTTAATTTTTGTTTCTCTTCATTATTTACTTATAACTGTTTTATTAAATCTTAGATCTATTTTTCTAACTCTTTATTCTACAGATCCAAATAATTTTATTATATTTCTAAATTCTGGTTATTTTTCTCTAATTGTGATTATTTTTCAATTTATTTTATTGCTTGATCATGTAATTTCTCTTACTCATAATCAACTTATTGTTACAGTTTTTGAATTTCTTGTTTCAGTAGAACAATTTCAGAAAACAATTCTTGATTCTTTTTAATCTCTTTCAATAATTTTTATTCAATGCTTTCAGGAGACAAGTTTTAATTATTTTTATCAATTTCATCTTCAAATTTTGACTTCCAATACTAAATTTATTCTAGATATCCCTATTTTTCTTATTCTAATTAAACTAATCTGTCTTAATTGTCTCTAAACTGACTTAATGCATTTTAAAATTCTTCTTTTGATTATTACGGAAACAATTCAGAAATTCCTTGTCTTTATTAAGTTTAGATTGAATCTTAAACATTAGGATGTAAGATAGAAACTCTTTGAGGAACACTTAAATTTGTATTATATGTATGATGTCTAGTTGGAGATATTCTAATAGGACTTATGTATTTTATCGGAGTCAAAACTCGAATGCTGCCATTAGATCTCTCTACAGAGTATCGAACAGGGGAACTTCTTAATTTAGTATTATTTCCAATTAATTTCAAATCTTCGTTCTTTAGTCTAACTAATGAATTCAATAAAGAAATTTATTTAATTATTGTGGGCACATTATGTGGATCGAATTAAAGATGCTCAATATGTGTCATAATTTTTGAAAATACTTCTTCAGAAGATAATGATGGAGATTATGATCTTGCTTGTAAAGGACTTTAATTATTTAAGATTCTTCTCACTGCTTTTGGTGTTTCATATTTTTTTAGTGCTTCAATATCCTGATTTAATGATGTCAAATAAATTTAGATTTACTACATTTCTACTTCATAATCATCTTAATCCTTATCCAATTTTATTAAAAGTTTATTGTGGGAGTTTATGAGTTCTGCCAACATAGTTAAAGCATTAGCATATTTATTTTAAATCAAGTTACCATTTCTATACTATGAAATTCCATTTTAAAGATTGCTTAAAGCATTTTATAAATTTTCTGGTAATTGTTCATTCTTTGAAAAAGAAGGTTAATCCAACTTTTTTATTGAAGAAACTTCCTATTTGTTTTCTATTTAATTAAGGCTTAGCAAATATGATAATTTAGACTCAAGTAATTTATTTTCTTCTTATAATTTTTTTATTTCTTCAAATTTGTTTTATTGATCCTAATTTAACAATCTTCAATACTTTATTTAAGTTTTCCTATTGACTGGCCTATCTTAAATAAGAATTCAATTTCTCTCTTGCTATTTTTTCCTTTTGTTGTAATTCATTTATTTCTTATTTCTAGCTTTATATCTCAAGAAGTAATATTTATTCCCTTTCTTGATGTTATTATCTTTATTAAATCATAATTTTACATATTATTTTTCATAGCGTTTCTTTTTCTGTCTAATTCAAGTAATACACAATTTAATCTTTATATTTCGAATCCCATTAAGACTTTTTCCATTTTCATGCTAATTAAACTATCTGAAAGTGCTTGTTATTAAGATAATTAAGGAACAACTTAAATGATCGGTGAAACAGCTCTCTATGGAGAACGCATTTAAAATGGTTATGGATTTTAGTTTGATCTTCCTCTCATTTCAAATTTCAAATTTATTTATTATTAATATCTGATCGTTATAGTTTCCAGCTAAACAAAAACCTAGAAATACAACAAATACTGAATAAATAAAACATATCTTCAGGCTAAGATTCTGTATAGTTATATGAAGGATTTATGTTTAAACATACAATAATAATAAAACTTAAACTCATTTTCATTCAACTTGCTGGTAGCGGGGCTTTTGAATCTAAAGTAACTTAAACCTCTCCATAAAACATACACAATGCTGGGTAGAACGTACCTGTCAAATTATTAAATGCTTCTCCGCATTTTACTCCATTTCGATAAAATGATAAAGTTCCAATACCACTTCTGAATTCTAGTAAAACACCTATTGTATCATTCTATACAGCTGAGTATCCATAATCTGATATTTAACCATCAGCTCCGAATTTTCTTGCACATAAACAAATATAACCATAAAAATGTCCAGTTGTAGTCGGCTAAGTATATAAGTCTATTTCTTTTCTGATTAATTATTAATAATATTTTACCTAGCAATCCCTATAAAAATATCTTCCTCATCAACATACTTTTCTATCTTAATTTCCCAATAATGTCTTCCTGAATTCAATGCTAGTGTTCCAAGAACAGTTTAATAATCTGATTGTCCTTTTTTATTAGCTGTCAAATTGTTATTTGACAATACCACACTTTTCCCTTTTTTTATTGGATCCCATGTGAAAGTCATTTCTGCTAAAAATAAAAGTTATGAAAAATCTTTTAAACCTACTTCTGATAGTTTAGTTTATGTATCCTTTAATTCTTTTAATTAAATCATCGGATGAATAAGTTTAATATTATGAAACATTTTTTAATTTTATCCAATCCCATCAATAATAAATGATCTTAATTATTCTACTGTATAAGTAACTGGAACAATTGCTAAATAGTAATACCTTTAACCAAAAAATGACTTCACCAATAAAAATATTACATTACTGATATTTTTCACCATTGTTGTAATCTTGCCTAATTAAAAATCAACTGTAACAAGTCTTTCATCGTTAGAATAAGGGTATTTATATTTAATTTCTAATTTTTTAGCCAAAACTAAAGACTCTCTTAAATCACAAGTTAATCTCTTCAAAATTGGGGCTTTTTTATTTTATGGTTAATTTTCAACAGAGCTTTATTATTAAAAAGGAAGAGAGTTCGAAAAAGGTAAAGGATCTTCTGCCATTGAAATTTATTTTTCTAGAGAAGGTTATTAAGAAGATTATCGGCTGGGGTTTTAAGGAGGTGGTAAGTTAGGTTGACTCTCAGCAACTTCTTTTTAGTTAGCTATAATTTTAGAGGGTTGAGCCTAAGGTTGATTTTACTTTTCTTATTGAACATCTTATTGTTTCTCTATTTATTTCTCAATCTATTTTTCGTTTTTTTTCTCTAACAATTCATCTGGTTTTGGAGCATTTTCATTTGCTTAATCCTTTATTTCTGGAGGAGCAGGTGAACTTGGACAAGAAACAATTGGTTTCTCTGCTGATTGCTAATGGTTTAATTATGTTTCATCCTCAGCAATTAATTATTCTGGAACAGGTCCATCAGGTAGTTTTATGACGAATCCAAATCCTGCAATTGTATTTACAATCATTTTCTCTGTTATTTCGAAAGACATTTATGATAAATATTATTATATCAATACATAATGTAAATATAAATTCTCACTCAAATTCAACAATCAAAAATAATGATTATATTTAATTAGATTGATTATATGTATTATTTAAAATGCTTATCATTAATTTAAGTAACTATTTTACTATTTTTAAACTCTTTCATTCTCTTAAATATCGATTATACTTTAAAACCCTCAATAAAAAATAATCATTTTCATTGCAGAGGCAAAGTTAGTACTTTATGAAGGTATATTTTAAAGTTTTACTGAAAACACTTTCAAGATATTCTAATTTTACAAAAATTATAATTTAGAAGTTTAATTTTTTAATTCTTCAACTTCAATTATTTTTCTATTCCTTCTTTAATTACATTTACATGATTAAATAAAATAAAACAGTTGATTATTTTAAGAATAATTTATAATTTATTAATGAATTTCATCGCTAAAACCATAGATATTAAGTGAATAATAATTAGTTTAGGATAATGTATTTTTAAGAAGAAGATATATTTAAGATGCTTTGAATATGAAGAATTTATTTACGATAGAAATTTTAATATTTTATATAAAATATCTACAAAATAAAATCAATTAAATTATATTATTTCTTCTAAGTAATTAATCATAAATTAAGGGAATTTTTCTTCCAACACTAAATCTGGAATAAGTCTAAATAATTTTTAAGCCTATACTTATTCTTTCCGTCACAATCTTCAACTAAATATATGAAAGATTTGTTTTTTTCAAAACAATCGATAATCTTTTTAGGAGCTCTAATTTTACCAAATTTACTGTTTGCTGAATTTTCTAATTCTTACCAATATGATTTTTCATCTCTTTTATCAATCTTTTTGGATTTTCTGCACAAACTTTAAGTATCAAATTAGCGCTTATTCATAAATAATTAATATTAGAAAAAAAATTATTTTGCGCTTTAATCGATAATCATTATTAAAGAGAAAATTTTGATATTTGTTTAATTTATTTATTTTATTAAATTAGGTAATCAATATGATAAAGCCTTCCTTCCCAATCTCTTATTTTCAATCTTATCTAAGAAAAAAATAAATATATTAGTTAATATAATGTTATTTTTTCTGATTTAAAAAAATTAATCATCATAAAGCTTTGACTATATATACTAATTTAAAAGTACTCATAATATAAGAATCACCTAATTATTAATAAATTATTAATCTATACATTAACATTTCCGGTATAGTCTAGTGGTTAGGATATCAGGTTTTCACCCTGGGGACCCGGGTTCAATCCCCGGTATCGGAAAAATTTTTTTTATAATTTATTCATTATAAAATAATTTAAAAATCATCATTCAATATTCTTTGTACCAATGTTTCAAGTTCAGGGAATTGAATTAATGACTCAAGTTTGGTTTTCACACTATTGGGGCAATTTTAGCTTAAAACACTTGGGTCTTACAAAATTAGATTTACATAAAATTTGTATTCTTCAATTTAATGGCAATTAAGCTTATTTCAAATATATAAAATACAAAATATTAATTAATGATTCCAACAAAATGATGGTTCGAATAATCAGATGAATTCTCTTTTACAATTGTACATATTAAATAAAATGCCTCTTTTGATTCTTTATTTAATTTTGTTTGTAGTGTAAAATATATTTCATCTAGTAACTATTAATTTTGTAGGACATCGGTTAAAATAATTTTGTATGTTGAAATGATATTTGCTAAAAATTAATAAAACAAAGCCCTGTCAAAGCTCTTCCATTTTTAATATATCAAACTTGCTTATTGAAAAGTAATTATTTCAGTAGTAATCGATTTTTAGTGATTAGATACGTATTTAAAAAAATCAATTATTTAATTTGGAAATTCATCAATAAGCTAAACTAACCTTTCTGTTATATTTAATTTTTTAATTTATCCTATAAATAATTCAAGGGTTTTCTTGTTTTCTCTTGCTGATTATTAAAAAACTTTTATTATTAATTTTACAACAATCTAAATCAGTTCTTTAATTCTATTATTATGTAAAATAGATGAACAAATTAACAATGCATTATTTATATCAAAAGTTAAATTCAATTTAGAATATAAGGCAAGCAAACATTCTTTAGCTTATAAGCTAAAATTTTAAAATTTATTTAAAAGGACAATTTATTCAATAGACTCTGTTATTAATTTTTTATCATATGCTTAAAATTCAATTTTAGAAAGTATTAGATTATAAAATATACAATCTAAGTAATCTATGATATATAGTATATCTGAATTTTCAGTAATCATATTGCAAAAATTAACATATAATGATACCAAATATGATAAAAAATTATATTAGATACTCTATTTTATTAAATCTTCATTTGCGTTGGCAGTAAACGAATTAAAAAAATAAAGTGATTCCACTAAAAGTAACCTATTATTTTCTGATTAATTTTAAGAAATTTTTACTCAATAAATCTTCAACATAGTTGATGTTGACATCCGAAATAAATATTGAGGATATAATTCTTTAAGGAATATTTTATTTTAGTGCCAAGACTGCTGATTCCTCATTCTCTATGTTAGTATATTATAAAATTTAAATTAGAGAATCTGAAGCAATACAAGAAGAAGACATTCTTTTCCTTGAAAATAATTGCTCATTTCTTTGATTTCTAATCTCATTTCTGAACTCTTCTCTCTTCTACAATATTATTTATTACTCTTATTTCATAAAATAATTTAATTTATGGCATAAGAAACAGTTGATTTGTGTTGCAATATAAACTTTGAAATCGACATACACCCACTTGTCATAATCTAAATATTAGACTTACATTACAGAAAATTCGGTGCTTCAAGATAGGAAGAGACTATAGTAGGTGGTGCATTATTAGGAACAGTTTACACTAATAAGGTTCATATCACAGAATGTTTTGCCCTATTGGTTGACCCAGGTGATGAAAAAAATGTATTTTCTGATCAATCTTTTAGGAGTATACATTTGATTTTGGCGATGCTAAAGATTTATATCTAAGCCATATATAAGCTAATCCACAAGAAGTTTTACTAGGTGGATTTGTTACGACGAAAAATTTATAATTAGATATAGGTGTTGCTTATCTTTCAACTGAGTTTAGTAAAAAGGAGAATGGATTTAATGCTACTGCAGTATTAGGTTAGCCAATAATACTCAAAATTAATCCAACATTAAATTTAAACAAAATCGAAATGAAAGTATCTATTCTAAATATTCAGGCATTTAAACTTAATCAATCCTTAAAGCATTATGCAGCAGTGGCATCATTTAACACTATGCCTATAAAAATTTCATTTTCAGATGAAAATTTATAATAAGTTTGGCCATTCTTAGCTCCTAATTTACAATAGAAAGATTTTAAAATAGTAAATACAGCTAATCCATCTTTGCTAGTCTCAGAAAATATAAAGAATATAGAAAAAATACTTTCATATTTGGAAAAAGTTATTGTAAGAAAATTTATCATCATAGGCTGGTAATGAAGTAGGAGATTAGGATTTTGGAAGAAAACTCTTATCTACTTTGAATCAAATAGATTTAATTCGAAATGAGTCAGAAGTTTTATTAAGCCAAGTTGAAGAAGCATAATTATTTTAATATATTGCAAACTTTGCTTAAGGATAAGCCTTTATTAATGAAAAAATGTAAAAGATGTGATTGGATATTTTTATAATAATATATAAATAGTAAAAGCGACTAAATTAGATTCTTATTTCGTCTTACAATATACTATTTAAACTCATATTAATCTATGTACATTGTTAGCCTAAATCATTCATATATGGCTATTTTAAAAGCTTAAGTAAAAGTTAAAAGAATAATTTCAAGAAATTTGAGCAAATAATTTAAATATATAGAAGAAAAATCCAAAATTTTTTATCATTTATAGAATAAATAAAGAAAAATAAATTTTCATAGTTCATAACCCAAAAGCATTCATCAATAATAACATCCTTATATTCCCTAAAAATATTCTTCATCACTATTTTAACTAGTATCTCTTTTCCATACCAACCTTTATTTGATATATAGAATATGGCTGCTAATCTTTTTGTTTAAAAACTTTCAAACTTTTTTACTTTCATCCATTAATTGTCTTAATATAAATTTCAATCATTTTATTAAGTTTAAGATTATACTCCTGATTTTATATATAGTTTTTTTGAGCCTATAATTTTCCCATTTAAGTTTTTATTGAATATATTTTTAATTTTAAAATATTTTGAACTCCTGTTGCA